ATTGCACTAAATTGGCACTTTTCAGGTTTTTTGATCGACAAGCACACCTTTTTGACGATTCCGTTTCTGCACAATACAAAATGACGGTCAGAAATCAAGTGATGAAAATGCACAAAACCAAAATACAAACATGCAACTATATGATTAAACAAAAACTTTCCCTTCCTTAAAATGGGGAGATAATTTAACTCAAAATGAGGTAGATGGAATGGAGATAATTACATAGACACTGGCTGATCCACCAGGCATCGTCACAAATGCGATGGCACAAACGAAGGCCATAAAGAGCAGTGTTGGCCTGAATCCATGCATGCTGTCCTCGTTGTAAAGCAAAAGACCTGTCTAGCATTCTTGTGTTGCGTCTTGGTGTTTATATACCTGTTGAGCGGCCAACCACATTTCCCTCTGTCCTCGCTATTGGTTAAGATCGACTGCCGGGGTGGACGACAACTCCTGTTATTTTAGCAACCAAAACGTCAAACATGACAGGGATTTGTTCTACCCGTTTTGCGTCCACATGACTTGAGTGCGTGGCTAGGGTGTTGAAGTGAGGGTCGGAGATGAAAGCCTTTTTATCGTACAGCAGCTGATCTCATCGTTCTCGACAGTGGCATTTGTATTTCTCAATGGGTGCACTCACTAACCGTCCAAAGCAGCGTGCTTGATTACTTCACCAAACCAAAGGAACGTCAAGTCTGCGACTCTCTTCCTTATGCACCTGTTGGCACTCCAAAGAGCGCATGCACTTTTGCTGTTCTACAGATTTAACTGCACCAAAAGTGTTGGAACTTCTGTGAAAATAATGAAATAGGCGATGTAATGCAGTGTTTCATTAAAGCGTCCTCTGTAGGGGAGAGGCGGGAAGGTCGTACAAAATCCTGAGCTGGAGGAGTGCAAGGACCCTTCCAAAGACCATTGTGGATACCCTCTAGCCAGGACTTATTTTTTCTTTTCGGCCCGTACCTTTTGAAGATGTTAATTAAACCTTCTTAAAACGATCCTTTAGTTATGGAGACAGAGGTAAAGGACCAGGAGGGCTGGGTGAGAGACATTACAGGGGCGGGCTTCACTAATTTTGCACTCAACTTTAAGAGCTCAAAAAGTTGTACAAATAGATATAAGTAGATCAAAGATTTATTTTTTATTGTCTCTGGCCGTGCACTTTGAAAGGACATTATAACAATGTCCGCCATCCTCCCCCTTCCAGTACACTTTGACATTCCAGTTGCATGCCACTTGATCACGAAGTCCTCATACTGTCAAAATGTCAAAGGAGGTCACATACCCAAAAGTTTGCGTTCTGATGCTTCAGTACACTCGCCCTTGAGTCAGTACTTACTTTTTCCTTCCCAGCACATCCTAGCACTTCGTTTGGATTTTTCGTTTTGCTCTTATCTGAGAGGGCTAGCCTTCGGGCTAAGTCAAAGCACAATACATTTTCAGCCTTACATACATGCATTTGCCCCCGACCTAATGCCTTCTTCGACATAGTAGCAAGCACTGTCAGTAGCTATAAGAAGTACTTCCATTTCGCATTAATTGTTTAAGCAATATTGAATGTGGTAGCAATTTTCCTTGACCCTACGGTTAATTTGCATTACCCATGTAAATGTGTATGTATTGGGTAGACACTTGTAGATTTGATCATCACTAAAGATATGGACACAAGAGGTTCCATGTTACTTCCATTGTAAATACATCGCCAAAGTACAAAAGAGTTGTCCGACATGTGTCTAGTGGGTGAAAGAGGGTAGCTTAGTTCAAGCGTTGTGCTCCAGGAGTCAATAGCAGTTACTTCCGGACCCTTTTGACCGCCATATTCCTCCCTGTGTCCAGTAGGCCTTACCTAAGCAAGCAGCCCTCTGAAGAAGCAGCTGTGAAGAACTCGGACGATAACGATGAAGAAGGCTACAAGCGATGCTCTTCACTTCAACTTTCTTCTGCAAAATTTTATCACTTAGTGTGTCGACAACCTCGCCCAATCCACAGTCACACGAATTATGTCATTCTTCACCAAACTTTTCTTGGAAGAGAAATGTAAGGTTTTGAATAAAATTTACTATGCATGGAGAGCTAGACAAAACACGACTAATCACCATCTCTTGACTAAGGTGTACCAGTGGCGCCCGCCCAAGTGCTGAGGTGACAGCATTATTAATGGAGCCGCTTGTTTGACCAACCACCACCTCTGCAAAGCGCGGCTCCAAGATCAAAGTAAGGATGGTTTTAGGGGGAGACTTTCATGGGTAGTTGTAAAGATTAAGAACTTATTAGGCATTTTAAAAATTAACGAGAGTATAAACTTGTGTTTTTTTTTCTTCTAATGAACATTTGTGTCCAAAATTAACACTAACATGCTCTATTCAACTGAGAGCCATGGGTAGTAAGGAGCACACGTCTAGTAGTTGATGTGGTCTTGCAATTTTATTTCCACTCCCCCCCAAAGTACTGTGTATGATTGTGCCAAAAGTCCACCCTGCTTTAAAGGTCAAACTAAATTTCTAAAAAAAAATTAATGAAGTTTGCAAGCGTAATTTTGAAGTAGGTTGGAAATTTTTCGCCAAGAAAATTAACTGATCTCATGCTTAAAGTTCTAAAACTCCTTGTTCTGGCAGAAGAAGGCATTAGGCAGAGATGAATGCTTATAATCTTAGAGAGAAGAGGAAGTTGTGAGGCTATGACATGACGCGATGGTTAGGTTAAGGTGCCAGGGTCAAGGTAAACACCGATGCGACTGCCAGTCTAACAGGTAGTCGAATAAACAAGGCACCACATCATGCACCGACAGGGAGATAAGAGAGAGTTTATTCGCTGACCCCAATTCGGGCACCTCATCTCCAGGACTTTCAGAAGAAAAATTATTCTCAAATGAATTTGTTGGACATTGCCAGGGATTTACATTGACTGGGGAGGCGTGTGGAAGAGCAGACTCGGCTAGTGAGGAAAGGACTCTTCTTGGCAGACTCCTCGAGTACAATACTCGAAATGAACCAAGTAAACATACAATATGCATTACAGGCAAGGTCAGGAGATTCCAAATTGCTTACTTCTACAAGCCTTCCGTTTTGTAGACTAAATGCTTGATTGCCAGCGGTACCACAAGCTTCCATACGAGCTATCCTTAAATTTGGGGACTAAAAACTTTGTCCACCTCAGCCAAACAGATCCACCTGTTTGTTGACTCCTCTTGGAAACGTTCTGAAGGAATTTGTATTTAAGCATTCAATTCCAGTGATCCACTTTGAACAGCGCATAAAATGTACTATGAATTTTATGGAAGCCACTAAAGCCACTGTTTTTCTGCAGTCCGAAATGCATGATGCTTTAGGCGCTAGGAGGGAAATTGTATGCTCCAAATTTAGTTAAAAAAAAAACTGGAAAATTGCATTGCCTTGCTTCTTCTTCGACCAACTTCAGGATTGGCGGTCAATTTGGTATTCATTCTGCCTTTGGTTGCAGAGACTGGCCGAAAGCCCAAAACCTTCCACTTTTAGCTGAAAACAGGTACTCAGTCACGGCTCATGCCTTCAACTGCCTAATGAAAAGTCATGACATAGTAGAAGAATGTTATTCGTCCAAAGTACAAATCCACAAGTTTTGTAGAGAACCGGAAATCAAGCAATGTAAACGCAAAATTTGCTCAAAAGTAAATCCAAGTAAGTGCAAATGTCAACTCGAAGTTGTCTGAGGTACCTTAATAATGCGACACAATAGAGCAGCTTTAGTCTCTTGCGGTCTATAATGGATGTGGCTTTTACTCCGCAGAATTACTATCCATGTTGAACAATTACAAGTGGTGTAGTTTTTTTAACTATTCCTCCTCCGCCCAGCCGATATTTGCTTCCGCTTCAGACCGCCGATGAGGTATGCCAAACTACCTACCGCTTTTATGCAGTTGCCTCTGTGCATTCAAAACGAGTTTTTAAATGTACCTTTTGGTCGAGAAGAGGGCAAGCAACGCAAGCATCGTTGAGGACATGCACTAAGATTGCCTTCAAGAGGAAGGTAGTTGTGCGTCGTGAATCTCCTAACCTCGATCCAATTTCCTTTGACTCTAATTAATAAATATGGCCCATTCCGATCAGCTTGTTTGCGCCATAACTATGAGCGTCAGGAGAGGTGCATCAAAAATGAGTTTCAGGAGGACTTGTGTTTCACAAAACCTGGAGGAGTATTAATCAAATCACTCTATTTGGTTGTCTCAGCTTTTATTAAATTGGAGAGATTTATTTACACCAAATTCATCCGATCAACGCTTGATCGTGGTTGATGTATTTCATCACTGTGATGCTGCAAATACTCCGAGAAAAAAGTCAGTTCGCGACAAATATGTGCTCAAATTCCGTCACTTTATCGTGAACGTAGCTGCTCAATCCCCAAGTTAAATGCACCAACTGAATACACGAAAACATGCGTGACACAACCCCATTGTCATCCGACTATGGACGTCCTAAAAATGCTCCACATTCGTTCGTCCGGAGGGACCAAATCCCATACAATCACAGGAGCACGTTCAAGAATGGTGCCTTCGACCTTACACTTGTTCAAAGTAAACTCAAAAGACAAGGAACGTAAAAGCACCCATGGGTACCTATGTGCAATAATACTGCCGATGACCCACCAAGTGGTCCGGACCGCTTCCCTAACTTGCTAAATTTCAATTGTTTTTAGTAAGGAGCTGCTATTCGCCTTCGGTCGTCCGCTTGTACAGCACCTCTGTGACTCAGTAAAGGGCGCATTTTAGAAGCCTGAAGATAAATTTCAATTAGTTTCCTTTAAGACTATACGCCAGCCACTCCAGAATTTAACTGCTACTGCATTAACACATTTTACAAATTTATAGAGAAACCCCGGCCCACGCTAAACTCGATCTGCCATATACTCGATGGTAATTGTACCAGAGGCGGGAAGGCTCTTGAGATTTCAGAAAATGAAACAAATCGTGCGGTACGCATTCCCCGATGTCTAGATCAAAAAGCCTGAAAACCCTTTTGAAGCTTCTATTCGTCCTTAAATCGCATGTTTCCAAGTATCTCTACCAACTGTTCAACATTGTCTCCTCGCCGTGCCGAGATGAGCAGCACTGTTGGAGACCGCAAACCCGTCTGTTTAGCTGCATTGGACAGACAAGTTGAGAGTTTATGGAGAGTTTCGTGTTTTGATGAGGACGGTACGACGAGATCGACTTTTGTGCCAACAACGAGGGAAGTCCTCTCGGTATCATCCACAAGACGAGGATTGAAGAGCTTTAACTCATTGTAGAGCACGCCTAGTTGAGAGGCAAAATGAGCCGTGACCTCGGCCAACGAGAAGGATCGTGAACCGTTAGTGAAAAAGGTGCCAACATCGACTAGGTATATGAGGAAGCGACAGCCCTCGATAAGACTGAGGAATTGAGCACCTAAACCTGCGTTGCGTTTGGCTGCGCCCTCAATTAGACCCGGTAAATCTGCAACTGGAAATGAAGAAAACAGAATGCAAATAAAGGAAGAAATGCATTAAAGAAATGCATAGCGTATATGACAGGTGGTTCGAGTCTTTAATTATGTCATCAGTTTCGGGAATTTTGACGAAAAGAACAAATCCATCAGGACGTAGGATGGGAAGAACACCATCAGAATCCTTTCTCGAACAAAGTAATACCGAGCGCATTAAACATTCAAAAAACGTGTAGACTAAAAGGATAACCCAAAATAGCTTGCTAGGATTTTCGAAGCAAATACTTTCCTTTTCTCAATAGCTTCGCGACAAACAATCTTGCTATGAGAAAAGTAAATCAGTAACAACACTTGAGGCTTTAAGGTTTTAATACTGTTGAAATTTCTTAAAGCGCAACAAAATGTCTTACACAACCCCACTTTATTAGAAATAAAAATGTTTAACTGTGAATTAATTTAATTAACCTCACACAAGCAGCAGCGTTGTACAGTTTTAACTCTACCAAGATTCCAGACCGGAAGGCTGCGAAGTGGATATTAGTTCAGGGTTGAAACGCGCTGGTGTATGGGAGAAAATACAAAATATTCATCAACTTTACCCAACGGCCCCTATTACCCAATCACGGTTTAGTTGGAGCCCAACACGATGGTACGACCCGGGCCCAGTTTACCCATTACTTTAAAAGAAGTCAACACTATGACTTTTCATGAGTCGTGCCGGTTAGAAGTATTTTGGCGTTTGTATTGTGACACCCTTAGGGCTATTACCAAGTGCGTTAAAATTCTACGGAAATTAAAAGCGTAACCATTAACGAGCATGTAGTCAACGTCCTTATAACTGAGTGTGCAGCGGGTATTAAAGACGAGTCAGTGGACTACCTTATGCTCCGAAGGTTAACGCATTTATCATGCCAGAAGCGCCTAACTTAAGCCTAAAGTGAAAAATGTGCGGTCCTATTCATGCATTAACGTCCTTTCATATGACAATGGCCTCGTACGACTCGTACTAAATAAAAGTTAACGGGACTAGTGGTTCAATTTCGACACTTATTCTCGTTGCCTCCAAAACTTTTAACGCACGTCACATTAAATCACATGTTCAGAGATTACTCTAGCTCCACGTCGCACCCATGATGTTTAGTAACCATGATGATTGCGCAAGATGCAGCACAAGAAACTCACTCGACAATTTCACACCATCGCCGTTGCCTTTTCCACCACTTCCAAGGGGTATTTCAAGAGTGCCAACGTGTGGTCGGAGAGTAGTAAAGGGATGTGGCGCAACACGAGGTCGAGCACGGGTCAGACGTCGCAAGAGCGTCGACTTGCCTGAGTTAGGACCACCCACCAATCCCACGTCAGTGAAACTGGTGAGTCGTAGTAGCAGCCGCCGTGACTGACCCCTTGCACCGCGCTCAGCAAACCTAAGAGCAGCCTCGCCGATCCGAGGGAGAGCCTCTGCACGCCTTATTTGGACAGAAGAAGCGAGGAAGGCATTGCCTCGACCACCTGCACCGCCACGAGCGGCAACCAAAGTATCAGACTGTGCGGTAAGAGTGCAGAGAAGGCTTGAAGTATCAGCGCGGTGAGCAGACACGGTTGAGTCTTCCTTCGAAGCTAACAAATGGACCTGTGTGTCCAAAGGAACCTAAATATGAGAATTTTTGACATATTTAAGCGAAATATGTGATCTGTAAATGACCCACAAGACAAATTTGAAGCATGGATGCAGATTATAAATGCCTGAGTCGATGGGTTCTGTGCAAGTATTTAGTTTAGCAGGTGCACGAGAAAAAAAGCCACTGGATTTCAGATTGCACATTGATATCTTCAGCCTTATCAACCTGTTTATTGACAAATCCATTCCTTCTAATCAGCAATATGGTTTAATTAGCAGTGTGCAAATTACATGACCGTAAAATTATTCAAACTACATTCCGATGTTGCAAAAAATAACGATGCAAACATAACTTTAAAAGCGGGAGGAAACCAATTCATCGCGCTCCGTCCTAAACACTACCAAGAAGATAGTACCAGTCCTTTTTGTGCCATTTCAAATAATTTTAAACAACAGTATTTAATCTACTTTTGCAGGCTCTTTTACAATACGATGTATAGAAACTGTAACAGTAAGCGAACTCCAGAAAAGGTAAAGATACAGCGTTGTTCACTATAGAGCCTTAAAGAGCTGTCAGAAACAAATTCCAATTTGCGTCTCAAAGAAGGAAACGATGCATTTAACAAGAAGACTGCTCATTTAAGGTCATAGTAATAAAATATAACCCTTAGCATCAAGTCTGTTTACCGTGAGGAGAAAAGTTCAATTGGTTTTAACAGCAATTTAAATTTACAATCCTCGTCTTTTAAAAAGAGAGTAAAACAAAAATTTTACCACAAAAAAGTGAAAGCCATACCTGACCAAAGTATGTAAATTGTGTAAGCTTTGGAGTTTTTTGATGCGAGAACGTGTGAGCAGCCCATATCCACCCAGTTGGTAAGAGAAAACGCAACAGAAATACATATAAAAGGTGGATTTTGGTTTCAGTACATAATCCAACTGTTAAGCAAGCTGTACCACAATTAGGAGAAGGGTTACAAGTCTAGAACAAATAAATTGCTTAAGAAGCAAACAAAGAATCCTAAGACAAGCTGAATCGGTCCAGAACATTAAAAAAAGGCAGGTTGTAACGGTGGATAAAACTTCCAATTTCCGATCACAGAATTTAAATGTATTCTGAGAAGAAGAGAGAAGAAATTATGAAGCCAAAATGAACAATGGCAGCCAGATAACTTATAACCAATAAGTTCGGTTTACATTCCAGTTTTCAGTCAACTGTTTCACAACTAGGAACTAACTAATCCATTGTCAAAACTAAACGAGTGTAACCATGTGCAACAAAAGTGCGCCAACAAATAACAATTACTCAGTCAATTTAGACAGGATCCATACAACCCTCCTCATCCATCGGTGCCTTATTTGTCTTTCGAAAATAGAAATGTAAAGTTGGACTCCAAGAACTAATCTTAAGGGAAGTCGCAGGGCTTCAAAAATTTCGTCCCCAATAAGCACACTTTCATGCATTGACGAATCAGCTCTGCAAGGTATGTCGTCCTAAAGGAACACAATAATTTCGTTACGTATTCATAGTTTAAAAGAAAGGGTGTGTGAACTCAAAATCCGAGGACAATGACAATGAAATGTATAAATTACCTCTTTTCGGCACAGATATCAAGGAAACTTCATCAGAATTCGTATTTTCCAGATAATTCAAAGCGTCGTCCATTTCAGACAGAATTGCGAGTATCAATAGCGATGACTCTTTCACTTAGTTTAACATGTGGTTTAAATGCAGCAGCAAACTTGACGGAATAAAAATGGTCATAAAAACACCCTAACGTTAACTAATTTTACTACAACTGCCTATATTGATCTGAGCCAAGAATTATCATCTATATATGTTATACGAATAGACAATTAAATCGAAAGCTCAAATGCGAACTAATAAACATCGAACATGCATGCATCAGACCAAAGTTTGGATTCAAGATCAACTTTCATGAGTGCTGGCGTTAAAAACTTCTACGACGAGTACATCGGTTAACATATTTGGCATGCAGACGCCTCAGACAGCGATAGAAATACAACTAACTTTGACAATGAGGTTTTTTCCATTCGAACCATGGCAATTGTCTCCTGATCCTCTGCTTCCATCAGCAGCTCTAAGCACCGAATCCAAACTGGAGAAATCAATCACCTCCGAGTCGGCTGCGGGAATGAAAGGAAAGGTATGCGACGCGTGTCAAATACACACTCTACTGAAATTAAGATAAGTAAAAACCTTGAAATATCACATGTCCTCCGTTTCCACCATCTCCCCCGCTGGGACCGCCATAAGGATTGCAAAAAGTCCGATCAAAGGCGATGCAACCATCACCGCCCTTGCCTGCATGCACTATAACCTGCTTCATATCGACAAATGGACGTAGCTAAAGCAATAGTTCATATAACGGTCACAGAAACGGGCAAACCGTATGTCCCGAAGCTCGTGCCTTTGTTTTTAAATGAACACTCACACCAGCCGTCGATACAAAAAGCGAAGGTATTGAGACGCATCCGAGCCTGACCATATGCTCCAAAAGGTAAACAAAACACCCTCGATTTCAAACAAACTTTATAAATTTAAGCAAAATAACAAACTTCCTAAAAGCTGTTTATTAGAGCTTGATGGGCCTGTCAAAACCAAAGAGCTGGTTCTTCATTTCAAGATTGGTGAAACCAGATTCAAGCACTAGAAGGGGAGTTGTCTTATTCACAATCATGTTGGCAAAGCACAAACTAGCAACAGAATAAGAAACGTCTTCCAGTCTGAATTCAACTTTTTTAGGACGAAGGAAAATCGTCTTCGTGTAAGCCGTGAACCGGTCTGTTTGAGGATCATAGATGATTTTAAAGACACAAGGACGGGTTAGCACGTGAAGAAGGATAGGAGTAAGTGCAGCAAACGACAGACTGGACACGAAAAAAGGTGCAAAACCCGCCAATGTGGTAAATTTGGAGAAGAGGAAAGGTTGTGCGGCAAGAACGAGGCCACTTGATGTAAGCGAAAATAATTTGACGCCCACAACAAGGTTTGAGATAGGATTAGCGTATACTTGCATTCCAAGCGACGGCTTGGTTGAATAAGTCTGACCAAGGCAACGGAAACCCCGGAAGCTCAAACGAGTGAAAGATCTCGGGATACAACAAGACGGTTGCAAATATATCATAGTACGATCTAAATACAGAGTGATTTAGGGCGTAATAAAGTTTGCTTCAACAAACCAGACGGGAAACAATGATTTATTGCTTATATAAATACGACACCTGCAAGTTATAACGTATATTGGAAATAGTGCAACAGTGTCTCAGCAGAGATATCATTCGAAGACGCGAACTGGAGTTATTGGACGCTATAAAATGCACACACCGCAGGACTTGATTTAAGGAATACATTACAACATACCCCTTTCCTTTCAACCTTTAAGGAAAGAAAGAAGCGCATGCACACGTTAGAAAACCATATGCAAACCTAGGCGTTTCCGACATTGGAAGAGTGACCTTGATACACGAACATGTAATTAGCAAATGGATGTTTCATAGGAATGCACCTAAAAAATAATACAAATAACTAGAGGATGATTTGTAATAAAAAAATGGAAGAAGTAGCAAAAACCTATTAGTAAATTGGCCTACAAATAATCTTTGAATGGTTCAACCAAAATGTTGCCAGAAATAGTTCCAACTCATTTTGATTCCCATTAGATTAAGACAGGAAATTTAGGAAGTGTTAATTTTGGTTTTGCACTAGAAAGCGTCTTTAGGCTTTGAAAAAGGAGAAAGAAGGCATCAAGCAGGGCCGGGTGCACGTATTCCAGAAAAAAGGTGGAGAGTTTGCCCACGCTTCCAGTGGAAAGCTAGAATATATTACAAAGATGACCAACAATCATATAGATGATCCCATAAACAAGGTACTATAACGCTCTGTTATTCATTTAAAGGAAGGCCTTTGTGCTATCCTCAGTACAACCTCGGCGTCAACCATCACAACACATTCGATGCTACAAGGAAACAGCCACAAGCCAGACGCGTTGCTCATAAACTACCACGAGGCTATGGGACTGCGCTTGGCCTTCTTAATAGCTTCCACTGAATCTATATATATATACGTTCAGCTCAAGAGCAGGAATCGTAGAGAGGATGTTCTGTTGACCACAAATTGTGCCCGGCACTAGACGTTTGTAAATCGTTTTAAAGGGGATAACACCTACACGCAGATGGGGTAAGGTGCCTCGAAACAGAACTGAAATCGGATAAAGCAAAGCGTAGATACCTTTTTTAACTCCTCGGTTGTAACAACATTATAGAATCTTCTGCGCAATTACTTTGCACAGAAGGAGTATGTCATGAACCGTGGACACCAGGAGAAAAGTAATAACAAAGTCCGCTTAGTTTCTTGCTACCACCAATGTAGCATCTCAAGGCCTCCTTCTAAGCAGAAGAGGGTATTAAGTATGACTGAGTAACTGTATTCAAGACGGAGCAATGGAGATTTGTTTTTGGTTTGGTTTGAAGGCCAAACCATGCGTAAGTGGCAATATAAATCCCAAAATAACTGCCAAACATGAATGCTGTCTATAAACCATGCACTGATATCCGCCATTTTGCTAGTCCATTACGTTAGGTTACAGTGGTTGAGAATCGGAGTCCTTTTTTTCAAATTCGAAAGCTGAATTAATGACCAGGCTAACGCATAATCTTTCTATTATTTGATCGCCGTTTCCTGTTCTTTCTCAGGCCGAACCCCCGAATTTAACGGCCCTGTAAGATAAGCGTCCATTGCTAACCCTATTTATAATCAACTTTCTGCCTAATCAATTGAAATTCATGGCAATAGCATCGCACCTGTAAAATCGTATTGCAAGTAATCTGTAATTAAGGACTAAGGCTATGCCGGCTTTAAACCTTCAGTCGCGATAGCTCCGCTGTGATGCATGTCGCTTGGTAAAACGCTGGAGTTTGACAGCATTCTAAATTCCTTCACCCAGTTTTGTTACTATTCTTTCATTCTTAGTGGCCATGCTTCTTCGTTCCGTAAATATTTACCTCCCAGCAGTAGAAATCAAGGCACATAACCGCTAAGGTGGTTACGGCTTCCATCACCACCAGTGTGCATTTTGCTGCGCGGTAGGGCTAGAAGCTGTCGGTCTGGCGAAGACGTTTGGTGATTCCGCAACCAACAAAAATCAAACTAACTGTAATATTTTATTGACAATAAAAGGCATTGTTAAGCCGCTTAAAACATTTTGAGAATTATGGCTTCATTATGGGCAGATTCCCTAAAGACGCGTTGCTCTGCTATTAATTCAATTTACGTGCCATAAATAGTATCTTTGTTTCCTTCCAGGGCTGACTTTCCCATTTTCGGAAAATATTTTACTCTTATAAATGTGCGACAGTAAGTGTTAACGATTCTCAATCACTCGTTCGCAAGTGGACATCAATCTTCCGCAGCAGTTTCATTTCCAACAGAACTTAGTCTTCCCTATCTCCATCATACGGTTTCCGAATTACTTGCTCGTAGCTCATACACTTCAATGAAATATTGAAGATGATTTGACATTCAAGCACCTAATAAAAATATTTGATGCAGTTATATGACTTCTTTCTCTGTATTCCATAAAGTCCTGTATTTATGCACTATTCGTTGTAGAACCTGCTTTGTAACCTATTAAGTAATGCCTGAAGCCTGTGCCTCGCACCACATCAAATGGACACTGTGTTCTAAGGTAGCATTTCGGTCACTATTCGATTTTTGGCCACTTTAAAGCAAAGGGGAATTGTGCACAGTGGATCATGCGATAAATTGTGTTTACTTTTAAGACCAAATTCTCTGGGGTATGAGGGACGAGGGATCTTCCGCCCGTTTTACGCATCCCCTCTCATCCTACCGCACTCCTCCCCCTTGCTTCGCCTACTTCACACTCCTAAAAGCTGCAGTGACGTACGGTTGGCTACTCGCGCCACCTACGCCGCCGTATAATCGACCAGGGAGTACCCGACTTGTCCCATGGGCATCAGTTGAGGCAGGTCCTCCGGGAAATTGACGGTCGTCAAGACCTGGGAGAGGTTTGTGCGGAGCTGATTCTCTCGAGGCCGCAACGCTCGGCTAATTTCCATCTTACAAATTGACTTCCCTCACCATTATACAATCAAATTTCGCTAATCTCACCAACCAGCCGTAAATGCATCGAATCTGTTTACAGCTACTGTAGAGCTTACCAAAGGGCTGATCACGAGATTGTCAGTAACCAGTTCCTTCTGAGTAAAAGAGTGCTTCATTTCTCTTATAATTGGTTTAAATTTAAAGCATCCGCTCGTTCAAGTAATATTTATTTGCATTTAAACAAAATAAAGGGAGATTAGCCAGTTAGAGGCATAAAATTCAGGACCTTATCATTGAAACAGCAACTCTAGGTGCATCCTCTGCGTCAACATTGAAAAGACGCAATGTGTATGTTTTACTAAGTTACTAGCTTCTAACTCCCAACAGCTTAAGCAATTCCGGGATTCCGCCAAAGCCAACACTGTCTAAAAATATCCAAATTTACGTTCTCATCAACTTCCAGTACCTCCTGATCCAGATCACAGTGCTCTCTGTCAGATCGTAAAGTCTCAGTGCTTTATTCCCTCAAAATTTGGACGAAAAGCATCAAAAAAAGAATCAAGTCATCATTATTTGTCAATCAGCTGCTACTTATGCAATGTATACGCAGCTTTTGACTTAAAATCCAAAAATTAGCCAAATTGCGACAGCATTGGCGTTTGTTGATGGAAGCGGGAGTGTAAATTTACAGCATTCTGATCGGGCAAAACATTTGCTTGAGGCACATTGTCATTGGCTGTGGTATCACCTGATGCCCGTCCAACCAGATTTTCCAAGCAAGCGCGCGAATGTTCATGCCTAGGGGATGTGTAACTACTGAAGGCTATTTACTCGAGCGTACCGTCATCACAGATTGCTCTCCATGACCTCGGTTGAGAGACGAGTGCCTCAAAGAGCGGCTCTACCCGACTCCATCCAATGTAAGTCGGCCCCTCAAGGGGTCTAGTCCTGAACCAATGGTCTTTTCAACGATTTTGAATTTTTTTTTTTTGCTGACTTTATTTTAAGTAGTTTTGCTAGGAAAAAGTCTGTCAAGTACCGACGTGTTTGCATAGTTACAGACTAGTTACAATTTAAAAATTATGAGGTGAATTTAGTTAACGTTGTGCTAGGCTTGATTTGGAAAGAGTGGTGAGGGAAAAACACAAAATTTTCAACTTTTTTACACTTGAGAGCAGCAACCGACCAACGTATAACAGGGAACCATCTACCTAAGGAGAATGAAGCTTTCTTTGCTTCTGACTGCCTTTATGTATGTATTTTCATAGAAGAAAACAAATTTGTTTTAACAGTCAAATGTTTACTGTCCAATCGTGGGTGAAATGATGTCTTACAGAATTAGCCCATCTTGTGTACGGTACTTTAAGACTTGTTGCCTCAAAAGTGTGTGTGGAAATGAACATGTTTAATGCACGTAGCGTTGCGTTAAATGAAATGATCGCAGTAAGCCCTGGCGCCACTCATGTGAATGGGAACTTCGAATGCCAACAATTTACCTGAGCTTAAGCAACAGGCGGTTGCTATTTCAATGTGAACCGGCATGTTATGAGGGAAAAATTGAGAATGATGAACCAGATAAGATTACTTCAATAACATCCAACAGCCAGAAAAGGTGGGATGGCGATTGGAGTCCGAAGAGTGCTGTCCAAATGGCACTCCCAAGACTATACACCTTCCATCTTGCCTGGGCGCATTCATCGCCTTAACCTTGCCTCTAAAACTCCATTTCTCACGGTGTACTTTGTTTGCCAAGAAACTATTGAAACCTTTGTACTTTTATTATGCTTCTTTAGAGGTGATCAACTTTGGTGACAGCAATAAATTCTGAAGGGATGGAATTTGACACTCGCTCGAGAAGCCTTAGAAATGCAAAAATAATGGCAATCTTTTCTTTCAAAAGTGCCATAAAACATTCAATAGTTCCAACTGACCGTGAAGAGCTCATTGCTGTCCACAATCACTTATTCCAGTTTCAATTGTACAGTCAGAAGACTACCATTTGAAAGTGCTGATCCCCGAGGCCAAATTAAGAATGCGGCGAGATGTGACTTTTGTCTTAAGTCTTTTTGCCAGTGGGATATAACATGTGTCCAAAAATCTCTGAAGTAATGGAAGTTAAGTGGAAGGATGGCCACCTTATTGTTGTTCAATGCGTCAAAAAGATTAAAATGGTTCGCATTTTATCTGTATGCCCAATGTTCTGCGGCTTGGTGCGACACTGAGAATGTTCGAACAAAATCTTGTTCCCCATTTTTCGCACAAAGCGCCATCATTTAATTTCCTTTCCACAATTCCCTATTGCATCCCACTTGAAGAAGTGTCTTGAATTATCAACTTCTTGGGAACACTTAAATCGTCAACTTTATGATTTATTATTAGCGAAACTTGGTCCCTTGGCATATTTTTTGGAAAGACTTGGGCTAAAGGCAGCAGTAACCATGGGACTGAAATCCTTCACGACTAACCAAGCTGCTTACCTCTTCGGGAAGCCGCTAATATGGCTTCAGATGAAGTATTCCACCTCTGAATGTTGCATGAGTTGCGAGAAAAATCGGTTGCGAAGTGCGTTAACTCAAAGGGGAATGGGATTATTTAATGAGATGAATCCACTCCTCAATGATGCTGTTTCTGCAGGATAACGCAGGACGAGTTGGGCCCGTCAGATCCACAAGCGAGGTTTCTGAGTCGAATTTCCCACCGATCACTCGTAAGGCGTGTGTTCTAACAACTAGAATGCATAACAAAGGCGACTTACTAAATGTTAAGTTGAAGTTGGCCTCGAGGTAGAAAATCTTAGCCGCGCAACTTAGTGATATTGATGGAGATAAAATGTTACTTGTTTTTTGCCCCCTTCAAAAGGAAAGCTTTCATAACTTCAAATAATTAAGCATTTTAACAGTTACTATCCTACAAGAAAAACATAATAATTTTTGCATCATTTTACCAATATTTCAGAGAGTTTACGATGACATTTATTTGTGAAGTCTATGATGCTGATAATCTGGGGCCGCCAAGGAGGCCAAAGAAAGTTTGGTGGGTGTGGATTATCGAGCGGTGAAGCGAGGCCCTTTGGAAACACCCAAATTCTCATGGGGACGGTAAGAAGGTGGTGATGGCAGTGGTGATGGTGGTGGCGGTAGCGGAGAGGAGGAAGGGAAAGTGAGGCGAGGGAGAAGACAACTTGTGAAGGTGAACCTGGGTGCTCCCCTGAGACAGCGAGAAAGTTAGAGTGGAGATGCGCTAGCGCGAGTGAAGATTTCCCTCGGGGTCAGAGAAGCAGTAGTAGAAGCAGCAATGTTAGACGTAGTGGTGTTAGTTCTCGTCGTTGTCGCTGCGGTTTTGGTTCTCACCGTGCTCTGTACACCTTATCTTTCTTATCCATTCCGGCTAAGTGAAGAAGAAAATTTAAGTAAAGACCAGCTCCTTAAGGGAGGCATCATTTTAGACCCTTTCTGTTCCTTCATAACAGCTTTCTTCCTCCTCTCTCCTTTTCCCTAACCATCTCTGGGGAAATCGGAATGCCGCTTGAGAGCGAGAAAGAAATATCTGCTTTTCCTCCCTTCTTGAGATTGGGAAGAGCGGTTCTAATTTTTATGGTTATAGAGCAAATTTCTCTCATGGTCTACACAGACACTGACATTCCCTTTTGAGTACAATTAACTAATTTTACCGACAAATGTTTTCGGATTAAAAGTATAGGCACATGTTGACGTCTTCTTCACTATTATGCATTTCAATGATTTAAATACGAATCTTAAGTAGTATTTCTAGATAGTTTCGGTAGAGAATGTGACAGCTTTTGCAAGGTTTGTGGTGCGCTATCACATAGCACCTTGGCCTATGTTTCCTTTGAGTTTTTTATGACTTGCCCTATTTAAACTATAAAGGACATAAAAAGGATGCAGAGATTAATTATCATCGGAATTTTGTAGACCCGCCCTGGAATGCCAGCAATGAAAGGGTAGTGACAGAAGAAGATGTTCTTCCCATCGATCTTACCCTTCAAAGAAAGGCCCATCCATCTAGTCTGCAGACACCAGCCTCGGATAGTATCTACATTTGCCCGATCTGCGGCGAAGAACAGCTCACCCTTGACCGCTTTGTTGACCACATGACAACCCATCGATGGAAGAAATTGCCGGTAGCACCACATGAACGATCTTGGCTTCTATTGGCTAAATCTTCTCTTCTTAAAAGCAGTCGTCGGTTAAGACTCCTACGAAGGAGCCGAAAACGACACCGCGAGCCAAAGCATGTTTCATCAACGAGGAGTAGCGACATAAAAAGGGAGGGACAAATTAGCTTTCATTGTCCGGCATGTCCTACATTCCAACGAATAATCGGTATTCAAGCGGCAGTGGTAAGTTTACTGACACATTCTTGTTGAACTATTGAAGCATTTGAAATTTCGGCGCAGATTTATAGATGAGTTTTTAGCATAAAGTGTCCACCGAACTCCAAAATTCTTAAGAAGACATTAACTTTAAAGTCGAAGTCTACATTACCCAAAGACCAGTCCCCATGAGTCGTTGAGGTTGATAAAACACCTATTTTAGTCTGGTTTCTTTACTAAGAACACACTTTGTGTGTTTGAAAGTAAAGTGTGAGCAAGGAGTTCAGCAAAATACTCCTATAACTATGAAGAAATCCATGCTTATGAAGTGTGCAAAAATAATTTGAGAAGAGTTGCGTAGAACCAGAAGACATCTGAGATGCATCTACTTTCCGCTTTTTTATTTTTGCCTTCAGTAAAATGCACCTTTGAAATTAGATTAAACCCATTGTATTCTTTCACCCTCTATCGTCTGACTTCCTCTGGAAGTGGTTTACATTTGACATTATGCAGATTACAAGTACTGCTTTAGAGACAGAATGAGGTGGATAAATGCCTAAAGCACACTGGTGGCTCCCCAAGTACGATGTTTGGATCGAGCTCTCGACTCTCACCTTGACAGTACATTTAAACAACGTACATGTCCTGTACTAAAAATCACACTATCAAAAAAATTAATGCTTTGCCTGACCGATTATAAAATAGAGATTGCCGCAATGTAAGCGCACCTAGTCAGGTGGACTTCGAAAAGTTGAAAAGAGGCAAAGAACATTACTTTCTAGAGGACCTAAAATCATACCTACGACAACTTTATTGAACAAGAATATAAAAGAGAATTTAGATTTGTCAACAGTGCATTCTACTACTTATTGCTTAACCTTTTGTACAGTAGTTGGTTCTGCCAATACAAGCTTCAATACAATGCCGTTGGAGCAAAGGGAATAACCTTTAAAAAATGCCAGTTTAGGCGTAATCTTTTTTTAAAGGATTGCTTGTTTAAGAATCACTCTCCCGTCCTCACCGACAATTTTTATTCAACTCACGAAATATTCCAACTTTTTTTCGCAATCAATAGAACCACTTTGAGAATTCCCACATGCAAATCATTGTGGTGTGCAACATCTGTGGCATGTGGTTCAGCAGCCAGACTATGTTCGCTTCGCATGTAGCTGTGGTTCATCTAAGAACGTGTTCTGAAAATCTGGATGACCATTCCTCATCCCAAACTTTACAATCATCGTCATCACCGCCGCCAGCAGCGGCAACATCAATAACAGCAGCAGGAGACTTGAAGGATTCGCAGCAGGTCATTGACCCGGTAGTTGCATCTATTCTCTTCAGCGGCCTCCTCCTCTCCACACAATCGACTCTCTTTCCTGGAGCTACTTCCCAGAACTGGAAGGACTCAGAATCCAAGATTACTGTAGCCAACGGAATTGACGAAAAATCATCTCAGGTTACTAATTTCGGACAAATTTATACTCTGTAATTGCTTTTATGTTGATAGAAGATGAGTTGGTACATTAGGAAATCGAAACTGCATCGCTTTGAGGAAATGAAACGTCAACTCCCCCACAACCCCTTATTTATTAGTCAGATCTTTTTCTACTTCTAAGAACAATAACGTTTCAGAGCTAGTACTTTTTACCATTTCTTAATTTCTATCGCTAGTGGATTACTATTCTTTTAGGGATTATTTTGGCGGGTTTTTTTAATGTCAGCGCACCTTTGAAGGGGATTATGCAATAACAAATGTTAACAAAAGTTGGAGTCCGATTAATTCTGAAGATTCTCGGCGGTAACGTGTTCCGTGCAATGTAACGATGGGGCTAAATGATGTAACACTTTTAGCTAATCTACTTTGTATGGACGTAAATGATAAGAACATTCTAAGTCATAGACGCTCTTTGGTTAAGTCAAAACAAATTTGAGGAACAATGAGACAATACCTGGACAAAAGGGTCTAAAATCGTCGATAGAAAAACAGCATGATCGCATAGTTCGACTCCACCTGTCGATCGCATCATTGCTTGATATTGGCGCCGAAAGGTTTCAATTCCCTATAGCATGATTAAAACACAAAGGGAATTCAGACTGTTCCGACCTAATTAAATTTAATTGAAATGAGAATTCCACTCCTTTGACCTTTTAAGATACACATTGGTCTAATAATTATGATTATTTCGGTTGTTTTACATCCTTAAATGCAGACCATAATTGAACCCAAATTACAAAAGAGGCAGGTAAAAACGATGATACCAAAGACATCCTCGAAAATATACCCACAGCAGCAGCAGCAGCACCAACAGCAGCCACAGCAATTTGGGGAGTTGAATAGGTACTCGTCGAATTCTACTACCCCAGCAATACTCTACGATCACCCGTTGCAACGGCTCCTACCACCTCATGTTGCGGTTGCACTTGACAGGAGTGCGGTCGCAAAAATTTGCCACTATTGCTTCAAAGTAGGCTTCAACTTATGTTTCCTTCTCTAACTTTTTCCTGCAATGTGAAGCAACTTAATCGTACATCGCTATATCAGTAAAATACTAGTTTTAAAATGCCTTCAAAATGTTTTGAAACATGCAATCTTAAATGCTTGCTTAAGTTAAGTAAATCATTAGCTAGGTAGTTAGTAAATCATTTATTAAACTCTCATTCCGCTTGAATATTCAAGCCTAAAGGTGATCAGCCAAATTTATAGATAATATTCGTTCGCTAACAGTGCTCAGAGAAGCGAATTTCTTTCAGGAATTTGCAGATGAAATGGCTGTTCTGAAACATCAAGTCTTGGTACATCGCTTGGAGGAGACTACTACCGAAAATTCCGCTTAGGAAATTTTTGTAAGTCTTGAAAACAGGAAAAATACGTGATCAAATGGGGTTTACCAAAAATGAGAAAACTGATAATTATGATTAATGTATGCCCATGCTCCTTCATGACTGTTTTTCTCTTAAGTCTTTGGTACTAACTTGCCGACTGCATTTAAATAATTTTACAATTTAGTATGAACACTAGGCTTGATGTGACATTTTCCGCAAACTGTTCACAGATTTATCGGTGCATTCCTCCTTTCTTTAGGATTGCGACCCGAACAATAGGAACTAACAGTGACAATGCAATTTACAACACTGTGGCATATGTATGTAGACAATATAATAAAACTTCACTTTTATTCTAAAAAACGAAAAGTCTTGCATCCATAAGAGATGCTATAAGTATGCAAAACATAAAAAGAACGTTTAAATCTTGGCAGTGACCTCTCGATGAGTTGCAGGCATCATTTTCACAGGTGAAAACACAAGCTTGATAAATTCTATCGTGATCGGGAAAGTCGACATATTGACATTGATCACCCAGAGACTCACTGCTGCAAAACCGCGTTGTACCCATTATGGCTAAAAAATTGATTAAACCGATGTAAAAATAAAATAGATAATATCTTTCGTTTTGAAGTGCTGTTTACCTCCGTATATGGTGGTGGTTTTTATGCAGAACCGAGCGTCACGAACGTTGCATGGCAAAGGCTGAACGTCCGCGTTAATAATGTGGGCTTGAAATTCACCATCAAGGCATCCTGGATCCACGGAAGAATTGCATACGTAGCAGTTGAGACATTTGGTAAAGTGAACTAAAATATGTCAGCAAAGTGTAAAGGCTTCTTTTGTACGACATGTAAGAAAATTAGTGTAAAGAGTCCTAGAGTTACAACATCGATGTTATTACTTAAAATCGTTTACAAAGTTGGAAAACTCGTAGAGAATTGGCAGCTTGTGCGCTAAAGATATTCCTATAGTCGCAAAGAAGCAAGTACCCCACAGTGCAATCAGAAACATTATGTAGGTTAAGCATTTGAAGCAGGTTTTTCACAAGTGCAGTGTAGCTAAACATCAGTTCATTTTGCATTTCTAGCCATCCATAGGAACACGACAACGGAAATGAGTTTAGGAAGGAGGAAGGGAAAATGTGCCAAACTCACGGAAAAGCAGAGAAACAAATAGAATTAATAACATGAGTGGATATGACCTCTATGTCTTGACAAAGCGTTTGTAACGCTCATAACATTAAACAAAACGACAATTTTGTCATAGGCGGTATTTACTAAGGTGTTTTAGAGATTATCCAAGGTCACCTGTTACAGTAACACAAATGCCGCTAGTAATTTACATACGCGAAAAATATATTAATCCGATTGCCTTTGCTCTAATAAATACGTAAAACGATGGACTCCTGCAAGTTAGGTACTTATTCATACTGGTTTTCCAGATCGAATTGGGCCTATCTATTCTGTGCTTGCACTTCATCTTGCAAATAATCACATTCCTGTTTCCTGTTTTACAAAATTCTGTACCTTTGCTTTGATGTTTAGCAATCTTTTAGTACTAAAGACGTATTTACGGCAACCCCTAACCGTCGCGCACATTTTAACCACCCGTGCTAACAACATGCGGTCTCTGAATGGCAGTAAGTTTTCCAGTCGTAGTAAGCTTCATTTAGGTTAAATTTGCTGCTAAGTCCTTGCATTGTATCCATTTATCTTTATCGTTATACAATCCTCAGCCGACTTCCTGTAAATTTTGAGTGAATTAACTTATATTTCTATCTGGTTCTTTAGAATCTCTTAGCTGCTTGACTATCGGTCGTGAGTGTTCTGACGATATAACTGTGTCCGAGGATGTTCCAGCTATCAAGTCTTTCAAGAAGATGGGTCTCAGATCGGAACTTCTTTGTGGAATCTATAACTACGGTATTATCCCTTTTCATTGTAGTACGCACTTGAATGTTTGCCTGCCAGCGTCTCTGTTCTTTTTTAATGTATTATCGAGCTTCGAGTCCTCCATAATCTTCCTCTGTATTGTACCCTACTCAACTGGAACCTATGCAATTTACAACTCTAATTAATAAATTCAGGTTACGAAAGACCGTCTCTTATTCAACAGCGTGCTATCAATCAGATCATACAGGGCCGTGATCTTGTAGTTCAGGCCCAGAGTGGAACTGGCAAGACGGCAACGTTCTGCATTGGCACACTTCAACTGTTAGATCCTACGCGGAAAGTGTCGCAGGCGTTGTTTCTCGCCCCTACTCGGGAACTTGCTTCGCAAATTCACCAGGTTAGTAGCTTTCACTTCCATGAACTCACCGGCAACTCAACTTGCGTGGTTAGCTGCATTTTCACTTGCCTTTTGGATTGTACTATAAGCACATTCGCGAACTTGTGGGAGTAGGTTTTACGATGCAATTTTAGGTAATGCCTTCTAGTCTTCATTTATCTAATATCGAGTTAAGGAATCCATTTTATTTCGATAGATTTTTCATTTTTAAGCTGGTAGCTTTTCTTACCTAAATTTAAATCGTGTCGCTAATCGTTCACAAAGCGTTTTGATGTCTCTTCAGCTGTCAAAACCCTTTTCCTATACTTCAAGGTAGTCACTGCATTGGCAGATCACCTCGCCATCAAATGCATGCTTTGTTGTGGAGGGAAGATTAATGTCGGTCAGATGAGCAAAGCTCTGCACCAGGGCTTTCAGATTGTCGTTGGTACTCCCGGTCGTATTTTGGGTATGGTTTGAATACCTTCACTTTTCTTGACTCTCTAGCATAATTCATGTCTTTGTTTGTATATTTTTGATTACATTGCCAACTACTCAACGTTTTCTAGCATCCGCGCCCGACAACAAGGGTTGTAACACTATCTTGCATCGGCTGATATTGTATCGTCCGGAGCTCCCCTTCCCCTCCTTCACGAAGTACAGGGGTATAAGACTTGGCCAAATAAGTATTTTCAGTCAAAAAGTAAAGAACTGGGAGTTTGCGCGTGGCTCAAGGGTCACAAATGGTGTTATGCATAGGATTTCTACGAGTTTCGACATACGTAACTTCAATTTTTCACTGGGTGCTTTTTACAAGCATAATCTATTTTCGCATGAGTAATCAAAGGGCAAGTAACCAAAAACCGATTACAGCCAACGCATGTCATGTAAATCCCACTGGTTATGTAACCTCTCGTCGATTTAAAGGCTCCATCGGTTTACTGGGGTTAGTGAGCATTTGATATCGCTAGAGTAGCAACATCTCGTTACGGTTGCTTTTCTCGATTCCGTGGAAACGAAACGACTCTACTAACAAAAATGAGTAAGAATGTTATTTTAACGTTCGCCATGATGTGTGGAATGACATGTTCATAATTGTGGGATAGTAATCCCTTGGTCAACCATTCATTTGATGGGTGCTTTTCTCGATTCGATGCATCTAACGTTTTGTATGTCAAAGCGCGCCAGGTTTGTTTTCATTGCGGGTCTTACTAGGGCTTAAAAAGTAGGCTTGGGTAGAGCTGTTGTGGGTAATTACTCTATGTCGTTTTGATAACACCATACGGAGCGGTGGTTCAAGTAAACTGTTAAATCTATGTTCATTATTACGAATAGTTGTGACTAAGGGCTGTATTGCAGCGGTGAATAGGATGTCTTAGATCTTTAAATTGAGATCGCTTAGCGTTTGCCTTGCATGACTTTTCGTGCTGCATAAGGTTATCGTTTCTTTTGAGTTGAAAAGTAGCCTTACATCTACTCACTTGTTTGATTATTGTGTTTCAATAGTTTATGTAAATCGTTCATTTTTTACTAATCATCAATGAGGTGGTTTCATAATCAAAAGCGAAAGAAGATTGGTCTGTGATCCTTCTTTCGTTTTGATAATTGGTTTTTCTTTTGAGTTTACCACGGTTAAGGTCAAGTTTGACTTCATAGTCTGATAACGAACCCCCGTTTCCGCGATTATCTGCATGTCTCATTGCATTACGCTTACTCAATCCGCTGAACTAGTGGCTTCATGTTGACTGTTCAATCACCGATATTATTAACGGTAATTTATGTTTCTCCCATATAGAGCTGCTTCGAAGCGGCTTTCTAAAACCGTCCAGCCTGCGGATCGTCGTCATTGACGAGGCAGATGAGATGCTAAACCAGGGTCTTCGTGAGCAACTTGAGGAGATTTTCAAGTATCTTCCAATCAGGAGAGGTAGTGTGGAATTGGATTCTTGTCGGGGTATTATGAGATCACCAATGCAAAGAGTCGTAGTGTCTGCCACATGGACATCGGAATGTCGGGATATGATGGAAAAGTTCCTCGAAAACCCCGTCTGCTTACTTGTCCCTAAGTATTTTAAATTGAACATGAGTAGAAATTATTGTCACATAGGCGCCTGGGTTCGAATACGGTTTTCCTCTTTAGGGATGAACTGAGTTTGTCGGGCATAAAGCAGTATTACATCGATACAAGCGGTGAAGAGTGGAAATTCGAGACGCTCACCGACATCTTCGCCTCAGTATGCATCCCACAAACAGTGATTTTTGTAAACACTCGACGCAAAGTTGACTGGTTGTTAGAGCGATTACGCATGGACGGTTTTACTGCTACTGCTGCCCATGGCAACCTCGACCAGGCAACACGAGATCGTGTCATGAACGAATTTCGAGCGGGAAAAAGGTTTGTGTTCGTTTTTGTCCTTGCCAAACGAAGTAGTTTACTTATGAAAGCCTTGCTTTATGGCATAAATTTGTGGATGTTTTGCCGATTACACTTTAACTTCCATGGAAGTTTACACTGTATTTACTTATTTATCTATTCATTCCATTCTCTTCTTGGTTATGTGTATTTGTCATCGTTGGTTACTCTACCAAAAGTTCTCTCTCAGGGCGTTTGGCACTGTATGCATCAGTCCTCTGATTGGCAAAGTGCAAAAGTATAATTATTTGCCTTTATGCCTCACATTTTATTTGGATGTCACGACTCAAGTAAGAATATCACGGATTTTGTAAGCAGCCATCTTACTCGATCTGATGTGTTTTCCTGCTCCTTCATGTTACTGAATTTTCTAGCATTTAACATTTAAACTGCATCCCACTTTAATTGGACAAACTAATTGGTGTTTACGCCGGCTTGCTGACCCATTTTCCGCGTGGTACGCTCGCAGAGGTCAGGGTGTCTTGATAACCTGGCCAGGGGGGATTTAATTCGATGGGATGTTCTCACCATAAGTTAAATTCAGATTTTAACGACTTTACTCCCCTCTATTCATTTGGGTTTGTGCTTTTACTACCTGCCCTTTTACGCGACATCGTGCACAGTAATTTGATCATATCTGGTATCATCCAAATAAAAGTTTCGGTGATACATTAGTTCAAATTTTGTAAAGTTTTTAACCATTGTTAGTTCAAAGGCTCATCTTTAAGTCGGTTAATCGGTATGTACCCACTTTATCTGAGTGCATCGGATTTTTTACAATATAACTGCAAAGCGAATGTTGAAAAGTGCTTTAGCTTTGAAAATTAAATCATCGTGAAGTAAACTGCATTAGAATTGTTTCGACGGTAGTTTGTGCTTGTGGTCATTGCCTCTCATCTAATTTGACCCCAAGGTCGACTCCCCTTCCATGTTTGTTTCTGTCTGCCCTAATGTACCAGCGAGTTCTAGTAACTGAGATGAGTTACCGAGGCAACTACGATGCAAATGCTGGCGGTGGGTCAAATCGGCAGTTGCGAGTCTTATTCTTCCCTAGATTGGAATGAAACGATCTCTGCGCAACGTCCCTTTTCGTGTTTTCAAATTGCGATGTGGAATTATTTTGGAAGCATTGGCTGATGTCATTAATGACTGGCGTAGATAATTCCGCGTAACGGATTGATACTTAAAAAGTCAAAACTCGAATCCTCGGACCAAGCGACTCAAATTACTCAACATGACCAACTTTTGCCTATTTGATGGTGTCTTTAAAGCAACCAGTCCATCGCAAACAAATTGTGGTTTTTTTACTGGGAAAATTCGTTCGAAACCACTCTTCATGTTATCAAAGCAAATGCAATTGGAGTTGGCTTGATGGCTCATAATGAGTTACATCCACTCATGTCTGTGTACTCACGAGGGGAGCCTCAAAGGTTAGATGCGCACGTGTGTCTGAGGCTATGGAAAGGGGACTTGAAACATTACCTATCCTAGTGTCCTTAGGACACCTGGCGCCTGCATCTGAGGTCAACACTAGTGGGGGTGTGGCGAATATGTGGGTGGCACTTTTGACCCCATATACATGCATATCGTTCTCTCTGACCCCCACCCACCCGCAGATGCTAGTACCCTTTAATCTGGTTATGGTTTCGTCATCTTCATGTTCCTATTGGGTTAAGCCATCCATAACCATAAAGTTTCTAAACCATTTGATATGGGTCACTCTTGGTACTTAGGTTCATGAAATACGTAATACCGCAGACGTGTATATTTTCTCAACTTCCATTTTCGGCGTATGAAATCGGTAGATCCACAAGGTTTTACTTAGGTGGAGGGGTGCCTTTGCAGGGCATTCGAACCCATCTTTATATCTTTTATTTCTCCTCCTTAGTTGTTCTCTTTGAATGATTCACACTTAAAGAAATTGAGGAAAAGGGGTCTAGCAGGGATCGAAACTGATTCAGCTTTTGAATCCAGTCTCGTAATAGTGAGTACTTATTTCCGAGTTAGAAATTGGTACCACTAATACTGGATTCCATTCTCGCTACCGAGTTCGTATGTGTTCCATGTTTAATTATAATACGGGAAGATTGAAATGTTCTTCTGTCTTTGCATTCGTGTTGTCCACCCATTGGTGGACAAATGGGGTAGAATTTCCGAGGGAGACAATTTCAACAATTTATCACCAATCAAAAGCATATTTCATCGTAGACGGTAAAACTTTAATACTTTGAACACCTTGGGAGCGTAGCAGTTCGGAAAAGCATTTTTAATTTTGCCTGCCTTGGTTTTGGTGTTTGAATGAATAAAGCTCTTTAACAGCATTTAGGGAATAAATTAGACACTGTAGAAAAGAGGTAATCTGAGATCGCCAGCACATGACTAGAAACGGCAAATCGTTCTGGTAGTACTTGTTCTCCCACTCACTATCCTCTGCTTACTTTGAGTGCACAGCTCGATTTTTAATTTCTTCGCATCTATTTCTCGTCAATTTCACAAAATTTTAGTCGCATCCTCGTCACTACGGACATTTGGGCGCGCGGAATTGATGTACAGACAGTGGGTCTGGTGGTGAACTACGATTTGCCGCAGACGGCGGCAGTGTACTTACATCGAATCGGACGATCTGGTCGTTTCGGCCGCCGCGGGTTGGCCATTAGTTTTGTGGCTGGTGGCAACGATGCAGCCCATCTCAACGATATTGCTAAAACATATTGTGTCACCATTTCTCCAACCCCTCCCAACTTGGCTGATCTCATCAATCTTCCAGAGGTGGAAAACACTCCACCCCCATCCTCTCCAGAAATCATTAAACAGAAAGTTATGACTAATGACCAAACCCCACTTGTACGACCTATGTCAGCTGGGAAAAAAAGAAAGCTTAAAGTGCTGCGAAACCGAAGGAGAAGACAAAAGGCTGCAGCAAAGAGACGAGTATCTGCTAGCACACCCCATTCTTGTAAATAATCTCATCCAATATATCTGTACCATGCCATGTTTTGTACTTCACTTTGACACCACCCGAAGGGTGCGTTTAGCTCCTTCGTTCAACCATTGCCCAGCTTTAATGTTCAGACGTTACTGGATTTTCTTTGGAGGTTGGCATACTAGAAGAACCATTGGCGACGTTTACTACAACTTTATTATTAAAATGTATTTACACATCCAAATGACATTCGAAAACTGCTACCCCCTTTGGAAACAGATTTCCCTGTTAAGTAAATCAAAGTCAACCGCACGCACGTCACCAGTGAATTCAAGCAAAGATAATGCCCGTAGACCTCCCAACCCCGTTAATTGAGGCCCTTCTGTACCGTTTTGGTGAGTTGGTTCGTTCTCCGTCACATACGTAAAGTACCTTGCGTACCTTGCGGTTTGTGGACAGTCTTGAGTGTTTCCGAGTTCATTTTGATCACCTTGATTGCCTACCTGCATACCCTGATCACCAAGGGAGGCTTGGAAACTGCCATGGAGATCGCCGCCCTCCATACTCTGACACGTATGGCCTTCTTCGGCTTGACCTGCAGTGTCCAAGACACCTGCGCTGTCAACGCCGGTTTCTTGCGTCCACGATTCCGTCGCACTCATCTCTTGATGTGAGTTAGATTCTAAGCCCCCCGTGCCAAGTGCAGGTTGCTTATCTTCTGCAGTTAGCAAGGCTGTATGACTGGTTTCGATAGAATCTTCATCAGTTTCTTTTGCCCCCGAACCGGTATAGCGGTCAAAAAATCTACCTACAATCAAAGCGAGAAACAGAATTGACAGAGGCAAGAGCGGCTACAAATGCGTTTAGAAAACCCAAAAGGGGAAACGGAATTCAAACCCACCCACCTGAAAAACCAGACATGATAAGCCTCCCAATCACAAATTCGACAAAATTCGGACGCAAATTTATACTTATTTGTTTGCCTCTCTATTGGCTAAAAATTAGGTCCGCATGCGCGCTTTGTAGCCAACGAATCACTTTCGAATGAATCGGCGGTTCCGCCAATTAGAGTGCACCTGCGCACTCACCGATCCTTTCCCGTCTGAATTGAAGTAGATAGGAGTACGGTAATTTGGTTTGTGGATTTTGAAGGAGAATAGTTATAATAATAAGTTTTACTGCTACAAAATCACTAGACTCTGGCTTTATAGAAAGATTATTTTACTCATTCGATTTCTATTCGATTAAACATTTACAAGATTGGCAGCAGTGCTTCGACAAAAAGCATTTAGTTGCATCACCCGATTACATTCCTGATTATGAATCAGGTAATAGCAAGAACGGAGCAAAAAATTACTGGACTGCTCCGTGCGAAATATCGAGTAATGCAAGTTAAAGAAGCGTTATTACGTCAACAGATAGGTTTAATGAAGACATGTTGTTTACGTAATGTGAAGTGCATTTATAGCTTCAAATTATGGCAAATTTTCCTACTCAGCTCGGAGCTTTAAATAGTTGGCTTTAACTCATTCCGACTTTCAATCAAGTTCATACAATAATTTGGCTGTTGGTGTTTGCTTTGTGTTCTTTGGGAAAACAGGGATCAGACCCAAAAGTTCAGGATTGCTTTTAGCCCACTAATAACAATACAACTGTCCCAACCCTTCCGGATCCATGGATGTTTGGAATAAAAGGTAATGCATAAAATTTTCAAAATGTCAGATGAGGTGGGAGTTAGTAGTAGAATTTAGGGGAGGGGGGCGGAGGGGTAGTGTGGATCAAAAGTATGGTCGCAGAAATGGAAATAAAGTAGATTAGGAGTCACCACAACGGGACTAACAAATAATTCATGTAAAAACACGGTTTTTTCCCAGATTGTAAGGTAGTTTACAATAGAATACTATGGGTTACTGGTACTTGCCGGCAAGGAATTTCACAGAACTGACGAAAGATTTTTTGACAAAATCTATTTACCAAAAGCTGTTTAGAGTTAATTTTATGCAACAGTATTGAGTTCAGCCTTTAAGTTGAAATACTAGCATGGTAAAATGAGGTAGAAGAATAAGTGAACAAATCATCTATTTCTCATGTGGTACTGGAAGTACTGATACATAACCAGTGACCTAAAACTGAAGTTCTGCACCGAGTCATCATCAAGCTCTCAAATCTCCGCAACCATGTTCCAAGAACGAGTAGGTTTAGCAGGTTTAGTGATGTACTTGCATACATAACTATATTTTTACCATTGGTTTTTAAAGTGGAGCATATTAAAACTTAATAACTGCCTAATAAAAACTAAAAGACGTGATGGAAATGATTAAGGCAAATGTCGCAACTAAGAACGCAAAATTTGTATGCACTGGATTAATGCAGTCCCCATCATTAACGTCTTGAAAATTGTCGTCCATAATAGAAGGCACTGGGCATAGCTGAATATTTGTACTCAGGCAGGAAAGGTAGAAGCAAGTCAGGCTGGAAGCAAGATGGCCACCGAAGTGACCCCCATTTTATATGGGTGGTCAAATGAGCAAATTGATACACAATTGTTATTTAAGTTTTCCTCTCTAGCATAAACCGAGTCTAACCTCTGTTGCGAGACATTGCAAATAATTTGAGTACCTCTAACCTAAAAGATGACACTGAACGAAGTTGCCTTCAATTCCGATAAATATTCAAGACAGATAAAATATTTTTTGCCTAGTAATTGTTAAAATTAATATAAGTTCATTTAGGTAGCGATTATAAGTTTTAATACTTCACATAAGTAGCTAAATGTGATGCAAATGTGGGGGTGGAAAATATACTACCAGCGTGTGCATGTGCGCGTGCTGTGGACTGAAATGAACATGCCAATATTCTTAAATGATTCAATCAAACAAAGTAGATTTTTTGCTGGCCTGCCTAATCATAGCAGAAGGCATGAATTCGGGCAATATGCATGTATTTTGGATTGCGCTTTGAATTGATCCAATGGCCAGCTCATGCGAAATTAACAAAGTACAACATTGTCCCTTTCTTCATATGGACGACGGCCTCAGTGCTATCCTCAGTACAACTCCTGCGCCAGCCATCACAACATATCCGCTGCTACAAGGCGAAACACTCACCAGCCAGCCGCGTCGACCGTCAGTTATCATGAATCTGAGGGACTGTGCTCGGCCTTCTCAGCAGCTTCCACCGGGTCTGCAGTTGCGCTCGGTCTGAGGACAAGAATCGTAGAGAGGCACTTCCCACGGCCATCAACCATATCCGGGCGTAGACGTTGGAACGCTGGTCCAAAACAGTCACCTAACATAAAAAATAGGATCAAACACGATCCTGTATGAAACTTACTTTGACGTAGTGCCATCTCTGACACCTATGCGCAGATGTAGTTAGGAC